CTACATCTGTTTATTTATTTATTTATTTATTTATTTATTTATTTATTTTAGTGAAATGTAAACAAAGAAATCGACTTATTCCACCAAAACCCAAATCAAAGCTTGAGCCACATGGTTGACCTATATTAGGTTTGCTTGATTGCCYGAGTAAGAATAGCGTAGCATCTCAGAGAAGATGTGTGGAAAAGTGAACATGAATCTGCTGCTAAACACTCCCCCTTGTCTCCACTGCCCCCCACCCCCCACCAGCTGCTGTACTGAAATATGAAAACAACGTCATGAACATCCGGCAGTTCAACTGCTCACCCCATCCCTACTGGCTGCCCAACTTCATGGACGTCTTCACCTGGTCTCTGCCGTTCGTTGGAGAGAAAGGTAAGGAGCCGTTTCAGACATGTCCTCGATATGCTCTGATCCGTTATCTCTGCTCAGTCACTACCTGCACCGTTCACACATTTATTTATTTATTTAATTTTTTTTCTCCACAGTCACAGAAATGCTGGTGAACGTGCTGAGCATCTGCTCCGACGATGAACTCATGAACGATGAAGATGAGATTTTCGATGGTGAAGAATGTTTCAAGATCCAGTTTTTTGTGTTTATCACCAGCGCATCACAGTGACCTAAATGTCCCAGAGAAATGTGCAAACATGCCTGTTCACGTGTAAACTATCATGTGAAAAACAACACTAACCTCAAATTCAATACAATCTGATCCTGATAATTTATTATAATATAGTCATACATTCTGTAGTTTGTACAGAACACATCTCGTTTAACATCATATAGATTCTATGGGCTTTCAAACTCCACACTTTGCTTCTGGCATATCTACAACACCTCATTATGGATTTTTTTTAAGGCTTCTTTATTTGTTTACAGCAAATGCAGCAGCAGCTCGCAAAGAAGTGATCAAAAACAAGATCCGAGCGATTGGGAAAATGGCTAAAATGTTCTCAGTTCTCAGGTCGGCTTTTGTTTTTCTGGGTCAAGAGTTGTTGGGGGGGGTTTTTTCAGTATGATCAGGATTCAGCCTAGTTTTCTGAGTTGTTTGCCCGCTCTGCTCCTGTTCCTCCTGCAGAGAGGAGAGCGAGAATGTGTTGACGCTTAAGGGCCTGACGCCCACCGGCATGCTGCCAAGTGGGGTCCTCTCTGGAGGCAGACAGACGCTGCAGAGTGGTGAGTACCGGCTCGGCCCGAGTCTTTTCTCAAGTGTTTGCTCTCTGTTTTGTTGTTTCTGTTCCTCATCAGCATTCTCAGTTTCTACCTGTGGTCCTGTTTCTCTCCTTATCCGTGTACTCTTCTTCCTGACCTGAAATCAAATAAAGAGCCGCCAACAAGTTTGTGCTTCAGCCTCTTGGTGATGTTCCTCTCGCGTACAACAAATACAAGCTTTAGGATGATTTATGTGTCAGACAGACTCTGCAGAGTTCTGCAGCTAAAGCACAAAAATATCAAAATTGAATACATATCAGGGACTATTCCAGAATTATTTCATGCTGATGTTTGACACTTTTTGTCATTTTTAGATCCTGTCTTTTTGACTTCACCACTTAAATGAAACTAAAGGACAAATAGTTAATGAAAGTCAAAAATTACAATTTTGTGAGAGCTTGTGTGACTTGTTGGCCTTCAAACACATGTTGGGGATGACCCTCGATTACTACCATGACAAATGTTTGCTCAATATCTATCATTTACGTACAGTGAGTTATAGCCATTTTTGTGTCTTTTGAAGTTAATTATCTGTGGCAACCATCTTGGATGAAATTGACTAAAATATTTTCATTCAAAAACGTAGAGTGGTTCATTAGGTATTTTGCTAAAACACAGACAAATGAACACACACAAAGTAGCAACTGTTTGCCTGAAACAAAGTAAATGTACTTCTTTACTGAGCGCCACTATTTGTCATTTATTTAGTTATTATGACTGTGTGATAACTGAGTATCACTTTGAACATTTCAGCTGCAAGGAATTGTGGGATGGAATTATGAGCTTTGATTTTATTTTAAGTGTTTCTTTTGCCAAAGAAGATAATAAATGAAGCATTTCAGCTTATTTTCAGTGTATTCAGACACTTTCAACTGCTCTCATGTTCATTGGGAACTTTCTTAAAATAAAACAAATAAAAAAGATGGTCTGATTGTACTCAGGTAGGGTTAGAGTCTTCCACAAGCAGAAAGAGAAAAAAACTGCAAAAAAAAAAACAAACAGTAAAAGGCATGGTGTTTAAACTAAATGTCTGTGCTTTCAGCTCACCTCAGCGCCTCATTCTTCATTAGCTCATGTCTCTGTCACTCTGTCTCTGTGGATGTATATTTGTTACTCACCATATGAAGTTTCTAACCCCAGACTAATTTGATCAGTATATTAGTGCATGGCGCTCCTTGAGTTTGGCTTTAGTGACAATGAACATGTTCAGCTCATCTGGCCAAAAACAAACAAACAAAAAAAAAAACATGAGTTGCCTTCTCCCCTGGGGCTGCGTTGTACATTTGCATGGCTTTATCAGGAGTAACCTGCTCCCCTCCTCCCCCCTTCAGCCACCATTGAAGCCATTGAAGCCATCGAGACGCATGATGAGGACAGAGAAGGTAAAACTGGTGCTCCTTCTCCTACCTCTTTTATTACATGCACAGGGTATCCTGCAAGGCTTTCTGGACAGTTTATGCAGCTTAAACTTTTCTTTTATAAAGAGAACTCTCAAAATTTGAATAAATGGCACTTTACTGTGTGGTAACTTGCATATTTTAGAAAATAAACCAAACTTTGCAGAGGGTTTATTCTACACAATTAATTTCGAAAGAATTGATGTGTACTGATGAAAAAAAAAGCTTCCCATCTGGCTGTTTGCAGGGTGGGAGACATCTAAGATATCATGTTTTTGTAATTGTTGAGTCAGAGCACTTTTACTGAGGAACAGAGATGTTTAATGTAACTACTTACACCTACACTGCCTGCATCAAGGAAGCTCTGAAAATAAATAAATAACTGAAGCGTGTTTTGGAATGGGTAATTACCAGCTGGTGAGGGAATCTGGAAAGAAAAGAAAAAATATATATGTCGTGTTATAATGTCCCAAGAGACTTTCATTATAAATTAAAACCCTGCAAAGTGAAGTGCTGCTTTGAGATGCATGACTAAAGCACATTGTTTTGGGTTTGGCTTGTAAATGGCCTCCATCTGCCTCTAAAAATGTTGCATGCAACAACATGAAAAAGACCAGAGCATCAACATAAAATATGCATCCTGAATAACAAATATTACACACTAACATAAGAAGCAGCAGAATTTGTATTTTTTATTCGTTTTTTTTTTTTTTGTCATGTAAGTCTTAATTCAAGTAGAAATGTGACCTTACATAAATTGTTAATTATTGTGTTTGGTAAGTCCAGATGTTTTTATGTCTGTATCTTTTTGTTCTATGAAACAGGAAAGATTTAGTAAAAGCAAAATAATAAACCAACAAAAATCAGAAGCTCATAAGTCACAAAGGTACAGGATTGTGGGGATATTTCAAAAGTTGTATTGAAGGAGGTGTCAGTTTAGGAGCTTTTTTTCTTTGGAATTTCTAAAATTTTATCTGTATACACTCACTGACAAAAAAGGAGTTAAGCACCCAAAAGGAAGTATCTGACTTAGAATTAATTTGGTACACCTGGAAGCACCAGAGATAAAACATTAGCTTTGTCACAATTCAAAGGTTGAAACCCACGTAGTCAGCCATCCACGCTGGCTACACCCTACGTGGGCTGTAGGCCGCCAGTGTAAGCTGCATAAATGGCGATGAAATGAGACGGTCAAGTCAACGGATGATGTATGTTTGTGTGACCTCTTGCTGCCACATTACTATGGTAATACATTTCATATCACGTGCCTTCACAAAATTCAGCATTATTTTAAAGAAAAAAGTAACCAAAGGAAAAAAAATTTAATAATTTACAGACACGTTAAACTGAAGTATCAGCACTTTAAATTTTCAATAAGAGTTGTATTGAGGGTTTGAACAAGACCAGATGGTTTTATCGTACAACTGCTCAACGTGTGGGATATTCAGATAGTGGCCTGATGACAGAACCTAAGGGTATAGGTGAAGGCATCCTCATTGAATGCGCACTAAATACAGTATTACATAAACCTCATCTCTGTCTGTCATCCAGACACAGGTATTGGACGTCCTGCTCCGTGTCTAGACAAAAGGCATCAGCTGGAATTCGAGTTCAACATCCTGGGACATTAACACTAGAGCAGAGACAACTGCATTTGGAGTTGTGTTGTACCCAGGAGAAGCCACCATACAGACTGATTATGTTTGGTGGCATACCATGTTCAGTAATGAGTCTTAGCTCTTCGTTACATTAGATGATCATTGTGTGTATGTGATGGTGCCGAGGATGAGGTCTGCCAATGTTGTCAAGATGCAATGGTGTTGCTCCTCGTATCGTGGTGCTGCAAGCCATTGGGTATGACTTTAGATTATCTCTGGCTGCGATTCAGTGGACGTCGACGGTACAATGCTGTACCAGTGAAAACTGTTGAAGGACCTGTACAAGGTCCTGAAGGTGCTGGAATGTTTCAGGACTTTAGACAGTGTGAAAGACTGAAGGAACTGTTGAAGGAACTGTCTAAGGTCCTGAAGGTGCTGGAATGTTTCAGGACTTTAGACAATGTGAAGGATTGAGATAACTCTCCAAGGTCCTGAAGGTGCTAGAATGTTTCAGGACATTAGATAGTGTGAGGACTGAAGGAACTGTTAAAGGACCTGTCCAAGGTGCTGAAGGTGTTGGAATGTTTCAGGATTTTAGACAGTATGAAGGACTGAAGGAACTGTTGAAGGAACTGTCCAAGGTCCTGAAAGTGCTGGAATGTTTCAGGACTTTAAACAGTGTAAAGGATTGAAGGAACTCTCCAAGGTCCTGAAGGTGCTTGAATGTTTCAGGAATTTAGACAGTATGAAGGACTGAAGGAACTGTTGAAGGAACTGTCCAAGGTCCTGAAAGTGCTGGAATGTTTCAGGACTTTAAACAGTGTAAAGGATTGAAGGAACTCTCCAAGGTCCTGAAGGTGTTGGAATGTTTCAGGACTTTAGACAGCGTAAAGGACTGAAGGAACTGTTGAAGGATCTGTCCAATGTGCTGGAATATTTCAGGACTTTAGACAGTATGAAGGACTGAAGGAACTGTTGAAGGAACTGTCCAAGGTCCTGGAATATTTCAGGACTTTAGACAGTGAGAAGGACTGAAGGGACTGTTGAAGGACCTGTCCAAGGTCCTGATGGTGCTAGAATGTTTCAGGACTTTAGACATTGTGAAGGACTGAAGGAACTGTTGAAGGATCTGTCCAAGGTGCTGGAATATTTCAGGACTTTAGACAGTGTGAAGGACTGAAGGAACTGTTGAAGGATCTGTCCAATGTGCTGGAATATTTCAGGACTTTAGACAGTATGAAGGACTGAAGGAACTGTTGAAGGATCTGTCCAAGGTGCT